ATAAACATTTGATTGTTCCGAGTCATTGTGTCGTCATTGCTTATTAGGCATGTCGTATCATGTCAAACGCTATTAATTACTCCCTACGTCCCCTTTTAAATGTTTCATTTTACCATATTGGGATGTCCCTATTTAATTGTCTCATACCTTATTTGGTAAAGTTTGTGTGGCTCAAAATCATTCTTACTTTATTCTTACTTTATCTATTAATATCAACCACACAAACCTACTTTTCTTAAAACTCGTGTCACCCTCTTCCGGGACATTTAAAAGGGGACGGAGGGAGTATGTAAATTATGTTATACATCATAAATCATTAAAATAAGTAGACATAAAAAGTAAATACTCATTTACTTATTCGAGTTAACTTGTACTCCTATTAGGATGTAAGGATGTTGCTGTGTTGATCCAAAATGCTCAACAATATATAAGTTCATTGCATTGAACCATCCGTGCTTGTTGATTGAGATGTGTTTTGCAGAAAATGGATGCATCTAATATTTATTGAATTGATATAAGTTTACCTCTTTTAGAAATAAATACCAATGAAGCAACTTTTAGTTTATTAAAGTCATGTCCATGCAAAATGAATCATAAAGAGCCGATAAATTAGATAATTATTACTATCTTAAGTGGTATATGTAAAAATATATGAAAAGACCATCAATTTATATTTATGAAATTAAACATGGACTTTGTCAATATGAAAAAAATAGTGTATAGATTTTGTACGTATCATTTTTCCCTACGTTCTAGCACGGTCAATAAAATGCACTCGACATATTTTTTTATATATCAATTTAATAAAACATAAATTCAAGTATTATAGTAATATTTTTTTTTTTTACTTTTCTTGAATAATTATGAAATTAAAAAAATACATATTTTGAATGTTAAAAATATATACTTCTTCATATATGTACTTCGACTCTTCTTCGGTTAATTTTCAATACATCATAAATTAAAAATTTGTGATTCATTTTTTTAGCCTAAAAACTGGAGCAGTTGAAACTTCAGTTTTTAAAAACTTTATTTTACGCAATATAGGTGTCATATCAAAATCATGAAACTTAAAGTTTTTGTAAGATTTGGAACACATATAAAAAAATTCAAAAATGATGTTTGTACACACTCTTATACACACTTTTGTACACACCTATGTCTGTGAAAGCTTTTTTTTTGTCTGTGAACATTGATTCACAGACAATGTTTTGCACAAACAAAATATTGTCTGTGAACCGGATTCACAGACAAAAAAAAGCTTCACAAAAATGGTGTGTATAAGGTGTGTTCAAGGGTGTGTACATCAAGAATGGTTGAAAAAAATTATAAAATTTTAAAGAGAGAGTTTTCTATAAGGTACGATCTCTGCATGACAATTGACATCACCTGCCCAACAGCCTCTTAGCCTCTCCTTTCTTCTTCCTTATGTCTCTCCCCTTCCACTGTCTTTTCCATTTAAAAACTTTTTAAAGCTCACCAATGTCAGCAATTAGGAGTCCAAAATGGCCATCTTTAACATTGTATTTGATATCACAGAAAAGACAAGCTACCAAAAAATACCCAAGTTCTTGACTTTATTTTTAACGTTTATGTGTATATCGGTCTCTTTCATATTAGTATCTCACATGTGCCACACTTTTGCATCAAAGATTGCATTTGTCCTCCATATTAATAATTTTTTTATGATGCATTTGCCCTATTTGCAACACTGAAGAGGAAATTGTTCATTCATGTTGTGTGACTAAATTTGCGGCTACATGTTGGAACAAAGCTGCATTTGGTGTAACTAGCGCAGTAGATAGCTTTCTCAATATAGTTCGGAATGGATACATACTGTCAAGGGAAGGGAAGAACCTCGGGCAGAATTTCCCAAGCTTCCAATATGTCATTTGGTGTATATGGAAAGCCCGGCCTTAACGCTTGGATTTTTGAAGGAGTTCGTCCCAGATAGCTCGATGCAGATCGAATGGTGAGGAACACGTATGCGCATGCAGAGGAGTATAACAAAGTAATTGTTAGGGACGGTATCATACAATTAAAGGTGGGCAAATATATTAAGTGGATTCCGTCGGACCCCGAATATTTGAAGTTAAATCGTGACGACTCCAGTTGGGATAATGGTAGAGAGGTAGGAGCGGGTGCAAACGTGCAGTGATTCGAAATCACAAAGGGGAATGGATTCTGGGTTTCACAATGAACATTGATAAAACTAACATACATATTTAAAGCGGAACTTTGGGGACTTCGTCGTGGAAGTGGTTATAGAGATATTTTGAATGGATTCCTCGTGGAAGTGGGACTCGAAAAGTATGAAAAAGGCTCTCAAAAGGAGGCATGGCTCGTGGATAGGGGATATTGGAATTCTAGTTTGAGATTGTCAAAGACTGCTCGATGATGGCCAGTTCGTTCACATTAAACATATATTTATCGATAAGTAAATAAATGTGCTGATAGCCTCAGAAGTGTTGAACACGTAACTTCAAAGGGTCTTTCGGTTCTTGAATCAGCACCAAATTGGATCAAACAAATTCATCTTTGGAGGATGCTAATGGATTAGATTCTTAGATTTAAATTTTTTCTATTGTTATTGATGGATAGTATACCCGGGGGTAGCTTATCCGAGGGGTTATTGCGGGGAATAACTAGAGAGATGTCAGAGCAAGTAAGTAAGAGAGAGAGTATATTAGATGTGTGATCAGCGTATTTTGCTTCTGGGTTACAAATGAGGAAATGAGGTGCTATTTATAGTAGTAATAAATGCCAGATAGGGACATGTGTCAAGCATCTATTGGCCGAGGGGTCACATCAACTGGTTGGTGCTGCCAATCGCATGTGACCGCATTTAATGCGGTTGTTGCATGTGACGTCGTACTTGGTACGGTGATCCCGGCGCATGTGGAATGGATATCATGTCGGGAAAGGTGCCATCGGCTGCAGGTGTTTGTGCCGAAGGCTCTAGGTACCGAGGGCTACTGATTTTCGCCATTTTCTCCCAGTAATTCTGTTTGCTTGAGTTGGTCATCCTGTGAGGCTGTGAGAATCTGGAGCCTTCGGCCAGGGGGCCGAAAGCGCTCCCAATGTGCTGCGTGGGTTGCTCAGTACTTGGGGCGCTGTGTTTTGAGTCTGATGTGCCCCCTGGGCCTATTGGGGCTTTATCAGCATAGTAGGAGTCTATGGGCCGGGGGTTCCTGGGCCATATACCCCATCAGTTATTTTCAATTGTAACAAAAAAAATGATAACAAATTTTATATGATCGATCAGATTGAAATAATATTTCATTATTTTTTAATGGAAAAAATTAATCTAACAGGTATTAGTCCTTAATAGGACTAAAATAAGCCTAAAATTCAACAATATGAGTACAATCCCTTTATTCCCGAAATAGGACCAATATGTGTCCCTTCTTCCCATTCTACCACCTTCCTATAATTTTCAATAGATTTATTTTATTAATAAGAAAAACATAGTTTTATTTATAATAAATATATAAAAAATAATAAAATATTTATAAAATAATAATAAAAACATGAAAAAATATAATAAAAAAATAAAAAAATTAAAAAATTAAAAAATTAAAAAATAAAATATTTTAAAATTATTTAAAAAGTCTAAAAAAATAAAATACCTTTAAAATATTTAAAAAGTATGCAGAACACTGCCAACGCGTCCTCTACCTCCTAGCACCAATAGCTCCGGTCGGCGGAAAAAAAGTCATCTTGTGTAAAAAATGTCACATCTCTTTGAAAATGCCATGAAAGTTACCATGAAAGAAGATGACATTTTTACTCTTTGAAAATATCCAACTTTCTCTTCAAAATCGCCATCATGATGACTTTTTCCCCAACTTGGCCATCTTTACCGTCAACCGTAGGTGAGGGTGCTGGAAGGTGGCTGAGGTGGTGATTGAGGTCTGTATATTTTTTAATTATTTTTTACGATTTGTTTTTTTTATTTTGATTTTTTTTATATTTTATAATGATTGTTTAAATGATCATAATAGGAAGGACAAAGGAAAGAGTAGAATAAAAAGAATAGTCCTATTTTGGGAATTTAAACTTTAAACTCCTATTGAAACAATTGTTCTTTTATTTAATCCTATTTAGCTAAATCTCCCAAAAAATAATAATTACTACCTCCGTCCCTCTAAGTTTGGGACCAAGATGTGTGTTGTGGTTTTTAAGAAAAAGTGAAATTGTATGGTTGTTATTCAATTGATAAGATGTGAATAAAGTAAGAATGAATTCTAACTACTCAAATATTACCAAATATGGTATGAAACAAATTTAATGAGATTGATGAAAAAAGTAAAATGAGACAAAGTTAGAGGGACAAAGTACAAATTAGGAGTGTCATGTCAATAAATAGAATCAGGCTAATAGTGTAGTGCATGTGGCAGAACTTTAATTAGGTAAAACGTACCAAGAGAGTGCGTGTCACGAGGGTTAGTTCCCGGGTTCGAATCCCGTCAACTGCGATGAGAAGTTACTATGCTAAAAATATATAGGACCTCTGCAAGTAGCGGGAACAGAACCGTACTCTATATCTATCAGATTGAGATTATAGTCCAATTTACATCTTCCCAACGTACCATCTGATCGAGGTTGAGGACTCTGAGAGATGGGATGTTATGCTTATTTTTATTAAAAAAATGAACATAGTATACTGTCCACACCTAAAAATTAAAAGTACGGCAACGTCACAACAAAAATACGGAGTACATAACCTTGTTACGTACGTTAAAACTATTTTATAAATTGCACGAAGTTTCTGTGTGAACGTTAATTAAAAAATGCAACTTCGCAACAGCTAAAGATACAGTAAAACGAGTAAACGAGTATATAACCTTTTTTTTTGTAAAACGAGTAAACGAGTATATAACCTTTTTTTTTGTAAAACGAGTAAACGAGTATATAACCTTTTTTTTTGTAAAACGAGTAAACAGAAATAATTAAATAAATACATTAATAAATAAAAAGTTCTCGGACTCCGCGTATATAAAAACCTCAAACGGACGAAACCTCAGCAACTCATTAGTGTTTCAATTCACTCGTCATATACTTTCTCTATCAGTATAATCTTCTCATCTTAATTGCAAAAAATGGGGACTTGCGCTTCTTCACACATCTTGGGGTGGCAAAGTGGAAGATTTCTGCTAAAGAATACTCCGGCAGCGGCGCCGGCCATGGTGGTCCACGAGAACGGCGAGCTACTGGAGTGTCGCCGTCCGGTAAAGGCCGCCGACGTTTTGTCGGAGAACCCGAACTGCTTCCTCTCAAACTCGGAGTCCATGAGCGTTGACTCAGAAATACCTCAAGTATCGAAAGACGAAGACCTGCAGATCGGTCAACTCTACTTTCTCCTCCCCATTTCTAAGTCGCACTCTCCACTGACTCTTCAAGATATGTGTGGGCTCGCCGTCAAAGCCAGCACCGCTCTCAATGCGTATTTCACTCCGGTGGCCGGAGCTGTTGCCGGCCGCCGCTGCCGCCGCGGTTCTTACAATGACAGAGTTTCTAGGCGGCGGCATGTGGTCAGCTTAACTGACTGGACCTTGGCTGTTGTAACAAAATGTTAATTTTCCAAATTAAACTTCCTATCAACAAATATTTGTAATTTTTCTAATTTGTTCCCGGCCCCGTAAAATGTTTTGTTTTTCTTCTATAATTCGGAAATATTTCGAGAGAATTAAGGGAGACGTGTACGATAAATGTAATAAGGAACATCCGTCCAAGTTATTTGTAAAGAGCTTGGGTGTACCTTCAATTGTGACCGCACCAACTGATACCTGCACCGAACCACCCCGATCAAAATGAGGAAAACCGCATTGACCGGGTAACGGGTATGAGGCGGGGAATTTCCGTTTTATTTTTACGGGTAATGGGGCGGTTACGGTTTTATACATACCCGCCCCATTACCCGCCCCATTACCCGCCCCGTTTATTTGTAGTTATATTTTTATTATATTTTTATCTATTATTTGTTGTTAAAAGATGAGATTTTTTTTTCATTGTGTATATATAGATGATAGATGTACTAACTATAATGTATGAACGAAAGTTCATAATAGATTTTAATAGACTTGTTAGATATTACCATAGTTCAAATTAATTTAAGTTGATTCCTTTCTTGTCTTGTAGATATACGAATCTTTAAACTGACATCTGAAGTGAAGAGTCGTCTAGTCGATGTCGTTCTTTGTCTTTAAATAAAAACAATATTTTAATATCAAAATTTAATGACTCAAATAATAAAGCGGTTACCCGCAGTTACCCGAAGTTTTACCCGTTACCCGTTGAGGGGTTATGATTTGGGTAAAAATTACCCGCCGGGTAATGGGGCAGTTACGGGGCGGGGAAATTACCCAACAGGGTGGTTACGGTTATATGTAAAACCGTCTCCGATCCGCCCCGTTGCCATCCCTATGTCTAACAAATGAATTGTTGTTATACCAAAAGTGTACAATATGGATCTATACCTGAAGAACACTCAAGTTTCCTAGAAGTGGATTATAGATATAATTTAATAAGTTTTTATAAAACAAAAAAAAGAAAAGAAAAAGAATTAGAAGATATGAAGCAAAGATCGTGATACTCATTGTTAGCATCATAATACCCAATACAATAGGTCAGACGCTCACTAAAAGTACAATATTACTCATTTAGTGGGAGTCGTGATTTTCGCTAAATTTACAAAAATGCCAAGAAAAAAAAGGTTATTTTAATTAAATGGACTGTCTTTCTGAATTTGGGCCATTTTTGTGGGCCTTCGTTGAATTCATTAAATTTTATTGAATTTGGGTTGTTGAAATTGAGCTCAAGCTTAAACAAAATTACAAATAAACCTGGATGTATGGTTCCCACCTGTACATCCGGGTGTATAATATACAAACTGTCCTTAGAAGGGTGAACAAAATTACACTCTCTTTTTATATCATCTTTAAAAAGAAAGAGACAATAGAATGATGGTTTAATACGATATTAGGTCTGATCAAGTTAGTACATCGAATGTTAGGTTTAATAATAGTGTAGTTTGGCCAAAATATCTTATGACTAGGTTGAGTGATCTGAGCTAAACCCGATCTATAATCATACTCCGTATTAATTATGGCGTCAAAACATATTTTGGAAATTTTGATTACCATTATACAACGATCGGGTGGAGATCACAGAACCTGAAATAAGGCTGAGTCTTTGGTGCACACAGGTGTATGGGCCTACTGTCCTCTACTGTCTGAGTCAGCGTGACTAACATGTCCACCATCCAGTCAGGTCAGGGTGAGCACTCCAAAGGTGGGAGTAGGGATGGACCCAACCGATTCGGCCCGGTTGGTGCTAACCGGGCCCGGGTTTTTACCTTGTTGGGGAGGGTTGGACGGGCCGGGCTCGGGCCCTATATTTGTTGAACCGGCCCGGGCAATTTGGGCCGGGGCCGGGCTTTTTTTTTGTTTTTTTCAATTTGTTTTTGTTTTTCTTGATTAGGACTGGGTGTTTTGGGGGTGTTTGGGGGGTGGGGGTGAAGGGGGGTCAGGGGTTAATTAGAAAGCAAAAAAAAACATAAAAATTACCTTGATCCGGACCTGACCCGGCCCGGTTAGGCTCGGACCCGATATCAACCCGGGCCGGTTCCAAGCCCAACAATTTGAAGAAAAAAAACACCTCGGCCTGGTCTGGATTCGGAACCGGACCAGCCCAGGTCCATCCGTGAGATTCCACCTTCTCGATCAATGTCTAGAGGAAATCAGTTCTAGATGGCAAGTTGGCACTGGCTCGTGGTCCCACCCATTTACTTAATTTGGTTGGTCAGAGCCTATTAAACCAGTAATCAGATCAATTCAATCTGTAAGATTCAAAGTGGCCCAACTCATTAACCTCGATCATATCTTGAATTCTATCAATCATTTTCATACTTCTCCTTTTCCTGCATGTTTCAATGTGAGGACTAGATTTAATTTAATAAAAACAACATGTGCCTCATATCTTTTCAAATTAAAATAACAAAAATGATGTTTGTACACACTTTTATACACATTTTTGTAAACACCTATGTCTGTGAAAGCTTTTTTTTTGTTTGTGAACATCGATTCACAGACAATGTTTTGCACAAACAAAATATTGTCTGTGAACCTGGTTCACAGACAAAAAAAAGCTTCACAAACATAATTTGTATAAGGTGTATACAAGGGTGTGTACATCAAGCATGGTTGTTAAAATAAAAACCAAGTAACCTACCATATTTTTTTTCATTTTCTTAAACTTCTTTATCAAATGGATTATTACCTCTGTTCCTATTATAACTTCCAAATAGGTTTGACACACAATTTAAGATAGTGAGTATTGTGTGGTGGAGAGTTGTGCAGAGGAGAAAGAAACATGTAAGAAATGTTGGGAATCACAAATCTTTACCAAAGAGGGAAAGTGAAAGTTTTAATTGAAACGGACGAAAAAGGAAAGTTGAAAGTTATAATAGGAACGGAGAGAGTATTATTTAGGTATAGGAGCAACCGATCGAGCAATTAGTTTTATTTTCTACATATATGAGTCATAGTTTTGCTGTTCATCGGAGAAACCACATTTTCTACAAGTTAATCGTCGAGAGGAATAAAACCAGCATATATAATCTAACTCTCTTGTCAACAATGCTGTGAGAGTGTCTTTCTTGTGTTGATCAGACCATCCTAAAACAGAAGTTTTGTTCTCACAATTCTTTTTCTTTTTGTATCTTGTTTGCTTTTGTAACTCAACTTGTTTTGCTGATTTTTAATTTATTTATCTAAGGATATAATCCATGTCAAACAATATAATTTCATTACTACTGTGATAAATCAACTGTCCTCCCTTCATTCCCTAAAATTTGGCCAACTTGACTTTTCCTAGTCATTTATACTCCCACATTTCCATAAAATTCTTCTTGATTTGATTTGGATCAGAATTTAATAAAGTGGAAATAAAGTAGAAATGTATGGTTATTCTTTAGTGAGAAAAAGTATAAGAATGTTAATTACACAAAACTTTCCAAAAAGGGGAAATGAGAATACTTTTTTGGGACATTCGAAATGTACCCGTAATAAACTTTGAACAATCATTTTAACTGTTATATTTGTGTCAAATTTATAAATTTTATACTTTTATGAAAGTATTTTTAAAAAACGTTTCCATATAATTTTCAATTTTTGAAAAAAATTGTATTAAAAATATCATTGGTTAAACTTGACTATCATTCACAAAGAAAATTCAATATGGTTTTGTGTCATTTTTTAAAATTAGAAGTCCTTTTCATTCTTTTAGATTAGCACCAGGTGATTCAGGTTCCAGAGTAAATTTCAAGAACAAAATTTGTGAGCTTCCTAATGTCATCAATAGACCTCCACTTAGTGGCGGACCTAGGCATCGGAGCTCAGTGTATGCACATATATAACACTAATAATATACTACATGTGAATAAAAAAGGCTAAATAAATAAAATACATAGATATAGTAAAAGAAAACGTACCTCTATAGTTGTCCTCGGCGTGCTTGCATATTTTGAAAGTGTTGAATAATTAACTCATCGTCAATGCTATCAAACACATCACTTTCTATATAAGGAACTAAACAGTCATTCATCCAATCATCTCCCATCCGATTTCGCAACTCGGTTTTCACAATTTTCATCGCTGAAAAAGCTCTTTCAACCTTGGTTGTAGCAATAGGTAATGTCAATGCTAACTTCAGAAGCAAATAAACTAATTGATAAACAAGATGTTTCCCCGTCTTCACCAACATCTCTGCGAGGCAAGCAATTCCTTTCAACTCTGAAAATTCATCATTACTTCGCATATCAATAATATAAGTCTCCAGCTAATTTTCAAGAACTACCAACTCCATACTTGAGAAATCACTTGGGTAAAATGTAGCAAATTCAATCACCTTGAGCTTGTAAAATGCTTCAAAGGACTTGTATGGACTCAAACACCTCAAACAAAGAAGCAACTTAGTGTTGGACTCACTAAAACGGTAATTAAGTTCTTGAAGTTGCATATCCACAATTGTATAAAACAAGTCATACCGATAATGCTCCCAGTATTTGATATCCTTAGCTTTGCGCCGCGACCTGCCTTTTGGTATAAATTTGTCTTCCATATTAGGAATGTCAAGATAATGAACTCTGCAAAACACATACACTTCCTCTAATAATGGATCCCATCCATTATCTCTCATATTTTGCAAGCGTTCTGATGGAGTATATGGCCCAGGGACCCCCGACCCACATACTTCCTCTACTACAATCAGGCCCAACAGGCCCAAACGGGCCAAGCCCAGAAAAATGGAGCTCTAAGCAGCCCAAATTACGCAAAGGAGTGCCTTCGACCCCATGGCCGAAGGCTACCAGTGACAGAATCGAGCTCAGAAACATCACAGGAGAACAAGGCTTGAAAACCAAGCCTTCAGCACCTGCAGCCCTCGGCAGGTAGGAGCCCTCGGTTAGAAGAGGCATCACAAGAGAACAAGACTTGAAAACCAAACCTTCGGCACCTGCAGCCCTCGGCAGGTAGGAGCCCTCGGTTAGAAGAGGCATCACAGGAGAACAAGGCTTGAAAACCAAGCCTTTGGCACCTGCAGCCCTCGGCAGGTAGGAGCCCTCGGCCGAAGGCATCCACCTCGACAGAATATCCTCTTCACATGCGCCTGGATCACCGTACTAAGTACAAACGTCACATCCAACCACCACATTTAATGCGGCACGCTGGTACCCCTTCAGCCGCAGGTCGAGGAGAACGCCATTCTCCCCCTCCTCCGCTCCCCTTCGTGAACCCTATCCTTCGGTTAGGGAACAATCCCGGGAACGCCACGGCGCAAACAAAGAAAGGCTCGGACCTCCGCCCTCGAGAGACTTGGAGGGGCGCTAGACCGCCGAGGGGTCCAAGACCGCCTCGACGGAAAGGTGCTCCAAAGACCTCAGGAAAGTGGCGGATCCGTCTCCATGGCAGATGAGAAGCTTCCCCCTCGGGATAAAGGCAAAGCACCCCTCCATGCCGACGGCACCCGACATCGAATCAACCAGGCCCACTCGGCCCATGGCCATTCGCAGGGGGCGGAGGCCCTCCCGAAGGACACCAGGGACGAAATTATTGCGTCCCTCCAGCACCTGCTTGATGAAATGGAGGC